CAAGTTTTTGACTTATAGGAAACTGTCTTGACATTAACAGAACACATGCAGAAAATCGTGGCCAAAGTGTCAAATGTAAAGAATATAAAGTTGACGCTCTGTATCTGAGGGTTCCCTATCACCAGAAGCAACCAACCACAAAGTTCCAAAAAGCAAAGCTATTTACATAGCATTTACATTGTATTTATAACTATTTACACAACATCTACATTGGATTAGGTATTATAAGTCATCTAGAGATGACAAAGTGTACAGGAGGTTGTGCATAGGTCATATGCAAATACTGTGTCATTTTGTGTAAGGGACTTGAGCATCCAGTCCTAAAACCAATCTCCCACAAATACCAGGGATGACTATACCTGATCTTTGTCCCCCATTGCTTGCACAGAGCTTCAAAAACCCTTTGAATTTCCTGACTGATATTTGAGTGTCTTTTTTTATGCTAATGAGGTGACTCTTGGTGGGCCCTTTGATACTTTCAAGGGAGGGGCTGGTCACATCAGAAAGACCAAGTACCTGTTTAGAGTGTTGGAACTTCCAGCCCTCTCCCCATTCCCAACCTCCAAGGGAGAGGAAATGGAGATAGAGCTTAATAATGGCCAATAATTTAGTCAATCATGCCTACATGATGAGATTCCATATAAAACTCTGGACACCAAGCTCAGTGGAGCTTCTTGGTTGGTGAACTTAATGATGTTCTGGGAGAGTGGTGTGCCCAGACTCTGTGGGGACAGAAGCGCCTGTACTCAGGATTTTCCTAGACCTTACCCTATGTAACCCTTCATCTGGCTGTTCATTTGTATCCTTTATAATTAAATGGTAACTGTGAATATAGTTTTCTTGAGTTCTGTGAGTTGTTCTAGCAAATTATCAAACCTGAGGGGACTGTCAGAAGTCTTGACTTTGTAGTTGTTCAAGCAGAAACATAGGTGGCTTGGAAATACTTGAAATTTGTAGCTGGCATTTGAAGTGGGGCAGTCTTGTGAGACTGGGCCCTTAACTTATGAGGTCTTTGCTAACTCTGGGTAGTGTTAGAATTAAATTGAATTATAGGACACCCAGTTGCTGTCAGAAAGTTAGTGTCAGAACATACAAAGAAAATCAGGAGAAATCCAATGCATCTTGGGTCTGCAGAGGTTTTCTGATATGGACCAATGAAAAATGTTTAAACGTTGTAACACTAGGAGTCACGGATTTTATGAGACAGCTATATATAGCAGAAAGTGCACTAAATATATCTTTTAATAACTGTGTAACCTTGGAAAAAATCACTTGACCTTGAAGATTCTCAGTTTCCATATCTTTTAAAATGAGGATAATGATACTTACCTTTAATAGTTAGTTTTATGTGTCAACTTGGCTGCACCGTGGTGCCAGATATTTGGTCAAACATTCTGGATGTTCCTATGAGGCTGTTTTGAATGAGATTTACATTTAAATTGGTGGACCTTGAGTGAAGCAGACTGCCCTCCATAACATGGATGAGCCTCATCCAATCAGTTAAAGACCTGGCTAGAACAAAAGGAAGAGGAAATTCTGCCAGCAGACTGTTTTTGGACTTGAACTGCAACATCTGTTGGATCTTCACATGGGGCTCCTAACTGCTGGCCCATGTAGCAGACTTTAGACTTGCCAGCCTCTGTAATTGTGTGGGTCAATCCCTTAAAATAATCTCTATCTATCCATATCTATGTCTATCTATCTACACACACACGTACATATAGAGTGTGTATATATATATATGTACATGCTTTGAGGTTAACAAAGTAGTTTCACAGACATTATCTTATTTAATTTTCATAACCACCAGGTGAGGCAGTGTATTTAGTCAAGGTTCTCCAGAGAAACAGAACCAATGGGATGTCTATGTATGTGACTGTGTACATATACATATGTATATATACACATATGTGCATATGTACATATGTAGGTATGTATGTGTGCACACTCACATGTGTATACATCCTGTTCATTCAGTTTCTTGAAGGAGCCTTGAGACCACCACCTCACTTGGTTGTTATGAGGATTAGATAAGGTAGTAGATGTGAAACTACTTTGTGAACTTCAAAGCATTATAAAACATAAGGATGGTTAAGTCTGCCTAATACATGTGATGTGTACCGACCTTTGTGTTAAGGCTTTTAGAGACATATAAATTAATGTCTAAAAATGTGATCTCAGATCAATGTTATAGATAAATGGATTTGAAATATCACAGAAGAAGCAACAAATAGGAAGGCAGCTTTCTGGACTTCTGATCTGGGCTAGTATAGCATCTGTGGCCACAGAGTAGAAAGTCTGTGCAGACAGGAAGCCACACAGTTTGGCTGGCTTAGTTCAATGTACATACCCAGCATCTGGCCCAGTGTTTTGCATAGTCATTGTCCAGATAATTTCTGAAGAATAAGTGACTTTTATCTATGTGGTCACCCAAAAAGTACATTTTGTGAGTGACTCGGTGGAAAGAGTTAAATACCTCTGAGTTAACATTAAGCACCTTAACTCTAGCATGGAGGGCTGGAAAGTACATATGTGTTGAATCTGGTCATGGCTCAGAAGAGTTACGTGTCAATTAATCATGGTCTCTATGCTGGAGTCATAGTCTGGCTGGAGGTAGGCCAAAGCCACAAGCTCAGGGTACCTCAGTGAATAAATCCACAACCAGACCTCACTCTCTGAAACTAGTGCCTTTGCTTCCTTGGACCTCTGCTGATTGTCACATAATAGCAAGATGCAAATATAGCTCGGAGGAATAAATACTTTTAAACTCCAGAACAGTAACTGGAATACAAACATTACCCAGTGTCACCTGTCAATTCAGATCTCTAGATGGCATTTCTTGTAGCAGTCAGTGACCAGTCTGGATTGCACTAGCATGCTTCCCAGCTTTATGGATTGTGGTTTATGTGGGCAGATATTTTGAGACTCGGCTGTGGAAGAGTATGGTTGCTTTCAAAACATTCTAGGCAAAAGCCTCAGTCTGTGAAAGGAGACCAGACTTCTAGTCTTGTTGATATTTTGGGAAGTATGTCATCATAATGATATTTCCAGGCTGCTCTGGATATGGCCAGTAAGGGAGAGGCCATCAAGACAGCCTGCCTTAAATTAAAACAACAGTGGGACACTATTTTCCACTTATAAAATTGGGGGAAAAATTTTAAATAATACCCAGTATTACAGAGAATATATCCCTATTTGCCCCCTCCCAAAATCCTAAAAACATGCATATCCTTTGATCCTACAGTTCCAACTCTAAGGATGTATTCAAAGAAGATAATCTTATCTCTGCAATGATTGATTCATTAGTGTATGTTAAACACAGTGTTGTTTATAATAGCGACAAATTAGAAATCAATGAAATGTCTGGAAGTAGTGAATTGCCTAAAGGAATTTTGCTACAACCTTATGACGGAATAGTATACAACCGTTAAAAATAAGGCTGTAGAAGAATATATAATGACGTGAGAATTTGTTCATAATCTATTGTTGAGTTAGAAAACAGTTTGCAAATTCTATGTATAAAATAAGTCTGTTTTTATTTAAAAATCAAGCAAAAGAATAATCTGTATATGTGCATAGAAAAGAAGACTAGAAGACTACACATCACATTATTAATAACAACTATCTTTGGGTGGTGGTTTTTATAGGTGATTTCTACCATCTTTATGCTCCCCCTAGCAAATTTTCTGTAATAAATATTACAACGACAATTGTCGGGGCAGGAAGGTAGCTTTAAACATTTCAAACAAAATAAGCAGCAAATAAAAACCCTATGATGAATTAGGATTGACTATTAATAGAGGAGCAAGTACATTTTCTAGAGCTATGATTAAACCCTGGCACATTCTAGGGCTCTGCATTCTAAAGCAGTTAGTTGAAAATAATTTATATGAGGCCTGATGGCACAGAAGGGTTTTAAAATTTTTTGCTGTTTTCATTTAATATGAAGTATTTTCTACCCGCACTATACTAAGCCTTGTACGGCATAAAGTCCAGGAACTGAAGCAAGGAGGCGGCCTGACACATTCATACAAAGGTTAGCACACAAATGCCACCTTGGAAAGGGGAGGCTCCAGCCCTTCAGCCAGCACTCCATGGCCACTGAAGTCTAAAACTGTGTCTATGGAAAAATAAACAAAGAGCTCATAGCCTAGATCCACACATAGGCAGAGGCATCACAGGGCACTGAGGGGAAGTTAGAGATGTCTGAGGTAAATCCTTAACTCGGGGGGTGATGTCACCCATGACGGCAACCAGCCTTGGCTACAAGTGTCCTTTAGTGTCCCTGACAGACTGGATTGGAGGGAGCATCTTGTCTATTCGTGTAAACCATCTTCCCCTAATTGATGCAGCTGGCTGAGTAGTGGATTTGAAATTTTTAAAAGATTGATGGTGAAAATGGCTGCAAGGTAGAGAGTTTATTCTGAATGAGTGCCCATCATGTGAAATGTGACACTTTTCCCTGTCTGTCTCTAGCTGTTCCAGAACCATAAAAGATAAAGAGCCAAGAATATATATATTTTGCCCACAAATGAATAAGCCAAAGGTCCAGACAAAATTAGGCTTAAACTTTAAATCCAAAAGGGTACCATTAGTGGTAGGACAAGGGAGAAAGTTCCAGACTAACTTAAAGCCACTCTCAGCAAATTCCCCCTGTAGCTGATTCAGCCTTGCCCAGATGGGTGTTTTGAATTACACAAAATCCAGAATACTCTAGAAAAGCGCCAGTGGCTAGAAGTGTAAGCATATAAATTTCAGGGTGACAACTCCAAGGAATATGTATTCTTGATAGTCTTCCATAGTCCTTTAAAAATCAATAGTGAATCCAAGTTAACTCACCCTTACGAATCACTATTATGTCTATTCTCAGAATTTAAAAATGGAAGATTGCAAAGCATTTCACAACAGAGATTCTCCAGGTACTCCCCAGCCCACCTTCCTTCCAGGAATGCAAATAGACAGGTCACAGAACACACAAGCCATTAGCCTGACTGACTCACCTTGATGTTGCTGATCCTCCGGAAGCTTCAGTCTACAGGTGTGCAAACTGTTGAACAGGTGGCTGCTGCCTTTTCTTTGTATAGCAGACATGGTACTGGCAGTACGACTGTGGCTTCAGTATCCCTAGAGTATTTCCTTCCCTCGGCCAATCACCTAAAATGGTCTTCATACGACACCCAGAAGCATCTAGGTACAAGCAGATCTCGTCCTTGCATGTAAAAACATTCACTTCTCTAATAAACTTCCAAGTGTTTACTAGTCATGACTCTTGAAATTCAAGTTATTTACCAACTTGTAACTTCTCCTACATATGAAGATGACAATTCATTTGGAGAAAAGCACAACTTAATTCTTCTTTCATTTCAAAACACATTGAAACTGTCCCCACTTATAGTATAAAATCCTGCAAAATAACTATGTCTAACAGATGACAGTTTTGCAGTTGTTGACTCCTTCTGCTGGCATGAAATCTCATGCCCTGAGTATTTATAGAGATGATTGCTAGAGTAACACATACACAAAGGAAAAAAGTGCTCCTGAGTTAAATCAAGTGATTTCTAAGCCTGGTCTGAGTTACCCTCTGTGACAGCTGAAAGTGAACAGTTCTTAAGGGAGGCTGGAAGGGGGAGGAGCCGAGTGGGCTAGGCTGATTAGCATAAAGAAGCAGGCAAGAAATGACATTGGAGTTACTTTGAATAATCGTGACCAAAGCAGAGATTCTAAAAAGATACCCTGACATTGCAGTAATCACATATCTGACTTCTGCTGCTTTGTTTATAATTAAAACAAAAGCTCGAAGCAGGGGTTTATTTGACATGGATATTCACTTGTACGTGCAAAATCTAAAGGAACTGGTAATGAGCTCATGGAAATGTACTGCTGGAACTTTCAATTTCTGTAAACACCTCTGAGTCTTCAGAAGGGGGCAGTTTTAGAGCAGCCTGCCTGCCAAGGCAACTATTTGGAGTTCTGAAAGAACAATAAACACACAAAACATTATCTTTCCAGAGATCTATCTCTGTTTCCCCTTAGATTCTTTATTGCTACTTCTAAGTCATAAGACAAAGCTATTTCCAGTGTTTTCTTGTGCTGAAATAGCATATTTCACTGAAATATTGAAAATAATTTATATTTCATTGAAACAATAGCATATTTCATTAATGTTTAAAAACAAACCCCAAAGACCTTTCATTGCACTGGGAAGCCTGCTACCTCTGACGTTGTAATGAATGCTGGATGCTGGTGGATCCTGTCCTTCATGATCCACGGCTCTTTATAGACTCAGAAGTGAGGTGGTGGGCAAGGACAAAGGAGAAAGGCAGAGCTGTTTAGCCTCAAAGTCTGGATCCTGCAGCCTCCTGTGCACATTTGGAAATCGGTGCTTAAACTTGACACCCGAACTGGAAGGTTACCACCTAGCCAGATCCGGATAGGCGTCCTCTACTCGGAGGCAGTGAACAGTTCCGAAAGCCTACTCTGAGCTGTGAAAACTCTTACGAAATGTAAGACTGCTCTTTCATCATTCTTACGACTTTTACTAAAGTGCTCTTACCATAATCCATTGCAGTTTTAGGTCCCTCAGAATTTAACAGGTCACTGAAGTGTTTAGCTGCTTTGAGAGAGATTCCTGTTACAGAGAACCGTGGTTTCTGTCTAAGTAGCTGGTATTTATCTCCTGCTTCACAATGGTCGTGGTAGGAGGCTGAGGTATTTTCTTCCTGGATGACATAAAGCTGCCAATATTCTATCAAGTTGTGGTCCTCACTAAGCCTATTGTTACATAGATCAGTCCCATACCCCAGAAAACTATAAGCCAGCCCTTGAGAGAAAATAGATTTTTTTAATGTTTTATAATGAGAAATTTATATTTTATATATAAATATAAATATTTATATTTTATGATTAGAAAACTCTGAATTCTAATCATAAAATATCAATTTTATCATCTAAATGCCCTAAGTTTATAGGAGGATTTTCTTTTTTCAATAGAACCGTGTTTAAAAAGCATCCTACATTACATATGCATCGTACATTAGCTCACACGTGAGTTACCTGCCTTGTTTCAAAAGTATGTATGATATCTGGTCAACAAGTGTATGTACTCTTGGAAGGTCCTTAGACTGTTGAATGACAAGTATTATATAAATACAAAGCAGTAGTATTGCATGTGTCACCCTCATTCTCAGAGCCTAAGATGAAAGACCCTTAACAGAATGCAAACACGGCAAGAACGAGGCCCTGGGCTGAGCCCAAAGCACTGCAGGAATTAAGTGGTCTTTGCAATCCAAGGCTGGTGAGGTAGTGTTAAGACTTTAGATTTTCTGTTGATTTTAAATAACAGATCCCTTGCTCCTTTACGTCAGCCAACGGTAGATTTTTTTTTTTTTTCCAAATCGCTCTTCCTTCCACCAAAGATCCTGTAAGTGAGAATGCTGAGTTTCAGGATTTCACCGTGGCTTATGCGACACGTATGTCAGAAAGCACCATCCAGGCAGGCTTTTGAAGCTGTTCAGAGTTGTGTTACTCTAAGTTGCTGTATGTTTCTAGTTCAAAGAGTTTCCCGTGGGGGCTGGACTCTCATGATTGCTATTTGTAGAAACATAAGAGATGCAAATGGTTGTATCAGAGATGTTTTACTTGGATACTTGCTCCTGTCCATAGATTCAGGAGGCTACACTGGCACAGCACCTTATCAGAGATGCTCACTATACTGAAGTTGCTACCATTCAATGCCATCACTGGAGTCTTGGTTATCAGAAATGTGGCCACATTCCATAAACAATTGCCTTGGCAGTTCAACCGAATTTTGGCCCTTTCACGGGTGAGCCTTAGGTTTGGCTGCCATAGGGCTCCCTCTGGAGGTCAGCAGAGTCCAAGATCAGTTAGTAAAACAGTCTTGGCCTCAGAATAAACCCACGTCTTTTCATCCAGCACCCACAAAAATGAGCTCTTGTATTTATGAGCTTAGAAAGTGATTATCTGTATCTGAGACTATAGAAAAATTACGTGATTGTAAGTGAAATTTGATCACTGCTGTGTGCTGATATTTAATCTCTGTAGCTTTACATTTTTCTGTCTTTATTGAAGCTTTTAGCCAAAGTGAAAACACAACAAAATAAAACCAAAGGTCAGAAAAATGCAGAGTTTTATTTTGTTTGTTTTAAACCCAGACTACAGTGGTTCTGGTTCCATAATATCCACCATCTGGGTAAGATCAAATGCTCCTACAGAGTCTGAATTCCATCTAAAAGTATTTGAAGTACACAGACATCAGGGTCAATGGATTTGCAGCAGAACTGAACTCTTTGAAGGTAAATACTCAGTAACTGGGATCATTTCCAAAATAAAGCAGATTAGTTTGCACCAGATCAAACGTTTGTTACTTCACTTGAATTTACATTTACAGGAATAAAATAATAACCAAACTATATTCCCTCTCTCTTTCTTCCATCCTTCTTTCCTTCCTTCCTTCATTTATATTCTCTCTTTTTTTCTCTATTTCTTCTTTCATTTATTTATTTTATGTTAGGTGAAGTATAATATAATTTAATTAATTAATTAACTTATTCTGTATCTGGAATTTGCTTTAAAATAATTTAAGTGAGAAAGATGGGGTTATAGGAAAAATAAGATTGGCCATACATTGATAATTATTAAAACTGAGTGATGGGTACATGGAATTTATTATATTTTCATTTCTACTTTTTTTTTTACATTTCCACTATAAAAATTTTTTGAATGTAATTACTTATGAATCTAATTGAAAGGGTACAAGAAATAGGCAATGAAAAAAGAATAAAATAGGCAACATGCTAAATTTATTAAAATATGGAGAGAAACTTCACATTTCTTTACACATTTAATTTTTTACTCCATATAAAATATAAAATATATACAAAGATAAGAAATGTTAACATTCATAATATATTCATGTGGCAGCACAGAAATACAATTTATAAACAAACAAACAAAAGCACACTGGGGTACATTCTCAAATATCTGCTGTTGGCAGGGGGCCACGATCATCAGGTTCAGAGACCTCTGTGGCAGAGGAAGAAGGCTGGACCTTGTGTGAAGATGGCACACTCATGTAAAGAGAACCAAACAGTCATTTTATTCATTACTTCTCAGCTATTCAGATGTTCCTTTCTATACCATTTTTCTTATATTCTCACTTCTATTTCTAAAAATACAGTTAGATGGTGTCTTAGTTTGGGCTGCTATAACCAAGGACCATAGATTGGTGGCTTATACACAACAGAAATCTATTTCTCACAGTGCTGGAGGCTAGACATCCAAGATCAGAATGACAGCATGGTTGGGTTCTGGTGAGGGTCCCTTCTGGGTTGCAGACTGATGATTTCTCCCTGTGTGCTCACATGGCGGGAAGAGGATGAGAGGTCTCTCTGGGGCCTCTTTTATAAGGGCACTGATCCCATTCATGAGGGCCCCCTCCTATTGATCTAATTGCCTCCCCCCAGGCCCTTCCTCCTATTACCATCACATTGGGGGAATTATGACATAATGAATTTGAGAGGAACATGAATATTCAGTCCATAACAGGTTGAATTTTCAAAGATGGAGGAGAGTTTTCATCCAAATTCAGCTCAGTGAGGCACTGAGGAAGAAATATCCATGAGCTCTTTGTATTCCCACATACATGACTTCAGAGGTCTGCCCACAATATTCAGTAAATATCCTAAATAGAAACTTTAAGAAGACAATAGAGAACAGATGTTTTTAAATTACTTATAGAAATGATTAATCAAAATGCAGGGTGAGCACACACTTCCAAATCTATTCAAATGATTGAAAAGTTATACAAAGAGATAAAAAAGATGATGTACATTACAAAGTTATCTTTATGTATCTGCCATCAGTGGACAAATAGGACTTACAAGAAGATTAAAAAGAGATGGAATCTTAACAGTAAAAGTGAAATAAACCATGGTAAGAGAAGCAGCTTGGGTCAATAAATATGGGTACCATGAGCAGTCATCACATACTAATGAAAAAACTGCACATGAAACAGTAGCATGAAACAGTATAAATGCTGACAGTTGTCCTTTAAGAATGTAAGTTATCTGCTTGGAAAAGTCTTTTAAACAGGGACCAGAAAGACAAGCAGATCCAGAAGTGTCTTAGGACCACCCCCTCTTACCTCCTGGATGGGAAGAGACATGGAGAAGAGACTAGAGAGGAAAGTAGATGTGCTCAGGAAAGAAATACACTAAAGGATTCCACAGCTAAAGTCAGCTCCGCCTTTGCAATAATTGGAGGATGTCTTCAGACTGCATGTCTGCTCTATATCCATGAACCCAGAAGTGATTCTGTCAACACAACCAGCATACTGTCACAAAGTATGTAGTCAATCTTCAGGAGAAGCCTGCTAGGGAAAAAGACCCACACCACTGCAGAGGAAAGTCATGCTAACTCCCCAAACAAATGACCTAAATTTTTGCTCATAAATATGAATGGCCAATACAACATCATCAGATATTTGAGAATAGAAGAAAGAAAAAGGACCAGGATTAAGCAATCAGAACAGATAACTCAATTAAAAAAATAGAAATAATGCAGAAAACCAAAGAGAACTTTAAAAAAATTAGTAATTTTAATGTTCTCAGAGAGAGAAAGGATAGAATCTATACTATAAGAACAGGTTGCCATAAAAAAGATGACCCATTATGTCAGCAGAAATATTC